AAAACAAAAACAAATAATAATTTAATTAAAATGATATTGCCAATTACAAAAGTATAATTTTTTTTAATGTAATTTATAATGCGAACTTAATTTATTGTTGTTTTGTATTTTATTCGTTGTTGTTAGTTATATGACAATAATATGATATCTTTCAAAAAAAAAAAAATTGTAAATATGATATTTCATTGATTACATATTAGGATAAAATCTTTAATGTGAAAAGATCATAATTTTTTATTTTTAAAATAATTTAAATCTTAAATCATTATTCGTTGCTATTTACACTTATTAAACTCTCAAATCTATATATCACTTTGTATATTTCTTGTGATCTCTACCAAATTATCTGTCTTTTCAAATTTTTAGACATAAATTTTTTAAAGAAGGTAAAGTTTTTTATTGCGTTATAAGTTTTAGATTTTTTTTATGAAAAAAAACTTATTAATCGGGTATTTAGATAAAACCATTAACTTCATAAGATAATTTTTATTTTTTTTAATAATTTAAATCCTAATATCCCACGGTTTTTTATACATAAAATATCGTAAAAATAATTTTTGTAATTAGATCATACTCATAATATTTTTTATTACTTTGCTACTGTTTGTTAAGGATAATTTTTTATTAATTTTATGTAATTTATTCCCCTAATAAATATTTTGATAAGAACATTAAAAATAATAGTTATTAAATGTAATATTTTGATGTAAAAAAACTTGTATTTAAAAAAATTTCGATAGGATCACCAACTTTGTTCACACCCATATCTCTTCCATCTAATAAAAGTGGATAAATAGAGCATGTTAACAAAAATAAAATTTATATAAAATTAATCTTTATAGTCTTAGAAAATAAATTAAAATATTTACCAGAAAGTGAATAATTGTTGTGAAATTAATCTAAAAATTGTAATTATACAAAATTAAATTTATGCATTGGAATTTTTTTCATCGTCCCCAATCCCCCAAACAATAGTATTTTCGAAAATTGAATCATTATTTTGTTGTCGCTGACAATGCGTGCGATATTGCTTCTTATTTGTAACGACTGAAAAGTATCTAATAGAGTAAACTTTTCCTTCAATTAGTTTTGAACAAAATTGTAGAACAAAGTTGACTTTAATTGAGCCATGAACGTAATCACCCTGTAATTAAAAATAAAAAATTAAGTTAATTTGATGACTTAATTAAGCTACCTAAATCACAAAAAATTTGTTTTAATCATAAAATTAATTGATAAAAACTAAAAGGTTTATTAAAAGGTTTAACAAATGTAAACGATTTATAAAGATATAATACCTCTCATCCAATAGGATCATTAGGCAAGAAACTCGTACTTTGATATTCTAAAGATTTTTGCTCGAATATAATTCTCTGATTAAATTAGATCTGCATGTAAAAAAAAAAATCAGTAAACAAAACATAAACATATAATCATTAAGTATGCCAAATAAACACATAAGCAATAATCACAAATATACATTTAAACATGGGTTTAAAAATTAGGCTAACAATTACCCATCCATTGATGACCTAATAAAACTGACACAAAATTAATGACACAAAATTTGCTCGGTTTGGTTTTGTATTGATACAAAATTTTGTTGGTGTCATATGATGCGTCAATTTATAATGGTATAAAGATATAAATAAAGTAGACATTTTTTTAGAGCATTTGGCGTGCCACGTAAGCAAAGGTATATTTTCGACCAATTAAAAATTAGATTTCTATTTTATTTTGGAATTAAAAAATTCGTTTGCCACCTAAACAAAAGTGACGAATGAGATTTAAGAGTTTTGCCACGTAAAAACAATGAATATTGATTTATTAGGATTTAATTTATTTAAAAAACTAAAAATTATCTTTTAAAATAATCATCTTTAGATATAGGATTTATATACCTACTATTATCAGATAAATTTTGATAGTGTTTGTGATAAGAAATAAAAATTATTCCTTAATTAAAATTAAATTAAAATTTGTGATCTTTACCACTATAAATTGACGCATCATATGACACCAACAAAATTTCGTATCAATACAAAACCAAACCAAGCAAATTTTGTGTCATTAATTTTGTGTCAGTTTTATTAGGTCATCAATGGCTGGGTAATTCTTAGCCTAATTTTTTAAACCCTTGTTTAAATGTATATTTGTGATTATTGCTTAAATTGTTTTTATTTGGGATACTTAATGATTATATGTTTATGTTTTGTTTACTGAATTTTGTTTTTACATGCAGATCTAATTTAATCAGAGAATTATATTCGAGCAAAAATCTTTGGAATATCAAAGTACAAGTTTCTCGCATGATGATCCTATTGGACGAGGAAGTATTATATCTTTATAAATCGTTTACATTTATTAAACCTTTTAATGAACCTTTTAGTTTTTATCAATTAATTTTATGATTAAAACAAATTTTTGTGATTTAGGTAGCTTAATTAAGTCATAAAATTAACTTAATTTTTTATTTTTAATTACAGGGTGATTACGTTCATGCCTCAATTAAAGTCAACTTTGTTTTACAATATTGTTCAAAATGGATTGAAGGAAAAAATCTACTCCATTAGATACTTTTTAGTCGTTACAAATAAGAAGCAATATCGCACGCATTGTCAGCGACAATAAAATAATGATTCAATTTTCCAAAATACTATTGTTTGGGCAATTGGGGACGATGAAAAAATTCCAATGCATAGATTTAATTTTGTATAATTACAATTTTTAGATTAATTTCACAACAATTATTCACTTTCTTGTATATATTTTAATTTATTTTATAAGACTATAAGATTAATTTTATATAAATTTAATTTTTGATAACATGTTCTATTTATCCACTTTATTAGATGGAAGAGATATCGGTGTGAACAAAGTTGGTGATCCTATCGATTTTTTTTTTTTTTTAATACAAATTTTTTTACATCGAAATATTACATCTAATAACTATTATTTTTACAAAAATATTATGAGTATGATCTAATTACAAAAATTATTTTTATGAGATTTTATGTATAAAAAACCGTGGGGAAGGAGGGGGTAGAGACGACTGGGGAGAGTGAGGGGCTTCAGGGGAGTAGGGTGGTCGGAAATTGGAAAAGGGAGGGGGGAGGAAGGAGAGGTTTCGGGTTGGTGGTTTAGGGTGGGGGAAGGGGAGGGGGTGGGGTCGCCGGCGCCGGCCGAAGCTTTGGGCGCCGGCCACCGGCAGGGGGAGGGGTGGCTGACGGGAGGGGGCTAGCTATTAAGGGTGGTTGGTTTTTTTTTTTTTTTGAATAAACTTAACAAAACCTCGGATTCCGTTAAGTGGTAGTTATTTTTAACAAAGTCTAATTTGGGTGGTAGTAAAGTGAAAAAAAAAAAAAAATTAAACCGGTAGCAAATGTGAAACATGGTGTTTTTAGTGGTAGCAAATATCAAAATTTCCTTATTTTCATCTTATTTTTTTTGATAAATTGATCCGTTTACCTCTTCTAATTGCTTAAACTACGTGCCATAATGCTATCTAAAAAGAAAACAAAGGAAGTACTTGATTTCCGCTCAAATCAATTTAAATCAAGTCCATTTCGGATCATTCAGCTATAAGCAGGTTGATCAACATGTTTTGTAAATCAAGGGGCAACATTGTCTTTTAAGAGTAGAAGTAAGGGGTGTTGATGTCACTATACCCAAATGTAGCAAAGACGGAAGAATGACATGGCTCATGTTGGGGTTAGTCAAACTAACGTTAGGATGGTCGTCACCTCCGTTACTAGAAATTTACATTCAGATAATTGTGTAACTTTTCCTATTTCGAACCTGAATTCAAAACCGCTGCGATTTGATCTAGTCGGAGCAATTACATTCTGAGGGTGGTGTCAATTTCCTGTTGAAACTAAGGGAGTCGACCAACGGAAGTGGTGGTTTTATTAAAATAGAGGCAAAGCACGACGACATGGTATAATCGATTGAAGGCGTTGTATTGTGGTCCAATTACTGAATTACCTAAAGTAATGTTTCTGGCGTTGTGGATTTATTGAATCAGAAACCAACGAAAGTTGTGGGTTTATTGTTTCTGGCATTGTGGTGGATTTAGTGAAACAAAAACAATGGCGTAGATGATGAAGAGATTGCGGAGGAGACGAGCAGCGGAGATTAGAAAGGGAAACAAACTAAAATATTCAGATTGAAAACTATTTTAAAGATTTCCCCGTCATTGGATTATTAATTCCTCAGAAACATGCACAATCCTCATCGTCAACCTTATAACACTTGCCTCTGCGCTTCCAAAACCCTCCTTGACAGTTTTAGTGTAGATTCAGGAAAAAACGAAATAATGATTTTTTTTTTTTTTTTTTTTTTTTTTTTTTTTTTTTTTTGGGAATGACGACGTTAGTACTAGCCATCCCCTAACTGTCGTTACGTTGATATAAACGTCTACCGTACACATCATTATAAAATTATTTTCTATGGCAAAGAAAGGCCCACAAAAGTACTGATTCACAATTTCTTGTGAATCAGTCTGATTAACCGGGGCGCCCCCTCCAGCTATGGGTATGGTCTAAATTCTATTTGAGTATATTTTGCTAAGTTTACCTACAACATACATACCTCATTTTATTTCACAACAGTTGCATTAGAGACTTTCTACACTATTCTCATATTAACTTTGTACATGTCTAATAAATATCATTGATTTAATTGTTGTTGAATTAGAATAAATGAGGTTTAATTTTATTTTTTATTAAAATATAATTAAAGATATTGTATGTAAGGTTAAAGTAGTGCATTAAAAACGATGCATGGCTAAAATAATGCAACTAGAAGTACATAAGGTTATAGGACGTGCCAAATAGCCAAACCAATCCTCGTGCCAACCCTAGCTAGGGCCAGTCCACAAATTATGTATCAGGCTATGACTTGTCGTGTTTTTCCAAAATAAATGTGGCCCCACCCCGGCACGAACAATACCATGGTGTGCTATGTTTTTTTTTTGTGCTAGCCATGTTGTGTCTCGGGTCGGTTGTGCAATCTTTAAACTTTGTAATACAATTGAGGTTGGGCCTGGCATCACATATGTAAGGTTGTAAGAATGCAACAAAATCGGCCCAGGCAAGTAAAGTCGGAATTACTTGCCCAAGTATTTTTTTTTTTTTTTTTTTTTTTTTTTTGAACAGTTATGAAGAAATAATTTCATCAATATTCTCTGGAAAAACAAAAATTATGAAGCAACAGAAAACTTGAAGCAGTTCAAAGTAGCAGAAAAGAGCTGAAGAATTTGGAGAGAGAAGAAAATGGCGTGTTTAATTGCTGTTAATTTCTCTCCTTTTCCAATCGTCTCTTATTATTTCAGGGTAATACTCTCTCTTTTTTAATTTTGCTAAATTTTTATTTGAGCTAATGTTATCTTACATTTCACAAGTTATTTATTTATTTATTTATTTTGAAGAATCTGAAGGCCAATTGCTATATTTTGTACTGTAACTTAGTATAATGTTATTCATTAAAATGTCCCAATTTCTCATTTTATTCAAAGTGTAATTACATTAGATTTTGTTATTGTTGGATTGTTTCAAAACCGTCATTAGATATAGTTATAAGTAGGTAACTGTTAAGGAATTTAATTATACAGCATACTCTTTTAGGAATCGTGACAACTTTTCTAGGACATATCAAAATAGTGTATGTATCTATTTTATTAACTCGGAGGGAGTATGAAATTATTGAAATACAAGCAAATGTTTAGATGAGACTTGGATTTGCGGGTTTAAGTTAATTCAATTATAATTGTTGCTATTAAGAAGTCAATTATAATAGTTGTTGTTTGCAAGAGGTTAATTATAGTTGTAGAGCGTAGGTATTGAGGTTGGGGTGCAAATTGTGCAGCTGTTTTCATTTTACTATCAGGTGCCCAAGTGAAAACGGAGTATTTGACATTGTGTATTTTCGAGGGTTGGGCAGTGTGCGAACTTCGAGTTGGAACGAAGAGTCCGAGTGAGTAAGATTGGAGTTAGTCTTTTGGAGGTTTTTTTGGATGCAGCTGAGAGTAATATCTCATTTCTTTTTGCTAATCAGCTTTGTTCATTATTCCTTTTCTACTTGGTATCTACTTGAAATACACTTATCTCAATACTTTTGTTAATTAGATTCATTCGTTTCCTTGTATCTGAATGCAATATATAATGCCACATTTTCAATATCTCAAGAGTTCCCTACTTCCCTGAGCTTTTTTTCGATGTTTTCCCCTTTTAAAAAGCTATGGCGCTAAGCCCATCCCCCGCTGGATGCAGGGAAGTTGGTGGGGGTATCTGGCTGTTCATGTGATTACTCTGGGGGTAAGGGTGAGGAGGGATTGTTCTCTTGTAGAATCACCAAAATGTATTAGCAACTTTTACATTGTCACTACTCGTATCATTTATTTTCTTTAGGTGATGATTGGTTTTACTGTGTTGGTTTTACTGACAAAGTAATTTATTCACTTCAGGAGCTACAGCCCAAAGCAAGTGCTCACCGTGTAGTTTCAAGTCCATGGTCTATAAGAGCATGTAAGTTTCATTTTGTGCCATTAAGGTTTTCACTACAAATTTCTTTACATGGTTTCAAGTCTATGGTCTATAAGAGAGCATGTAAGCTAAGGTGCTTGACTTGATCCACCTTTGCTTCTTATATCAACTTTCAAATATCTCTTCTGTCATGTTCATCTTGATCTTAATTTGCTTCTTATGGAGCTGGTGGCATGAGACTGTTGGCTCTTCAAAATTGCTATATCGCTCCCCCCTAGCTGACTATCCGTGTCATTATGGTTGTAGCTCATTTTTACTAATTATTTGGTGGAACTTCCCAAGTTCCCATAACTAAGGCTACACGAGAACATTTAAGCAATTCCTGTGAAGCTCCTGACTCTGATGAGATTGATCAATGGGTTAGGTTTGGATTGTTGATGTATGTTTGGAATCAAATGTCTTATAAGAATCTCTGGTTTGGAGCAGGAATAATATGAAGCCTAGAAAAAATGGTACCATCATATATATGAGAAACTGATTTTTGATTTTATACTTATGATCTTGGCTGCTTGGTAATTTGGTATAGATCATAGTTTTAACAACTAGGATTCACGTATTCTCTTTCTTTTTGACCTTTCTTACCTGCATTTTTTGTTTTTGACCCTTCTCTCACTTTTTTTCTTTTGTTTTTGATCCTTCTCACCTTATTTCACTCTTTTTATAGCTCTTTTTTTTTTTTCCCTTGAAAAATATTGCAAACATGGATGTCTTATACGATGCTAATACATTCAATATGGTTTCATATAATCAATAATACATTTTCAAACTTCCTTATGCTAGAGTTGCTTTTAAACTTAAAATTGAATTGTTATTCTAAAATCATATCTTATGCTTGCAGCATTCAGAGTCATCTCCTCTGCCTGCATCAGGAATCACACCGCTGTACAGAGTCTGTACTCAGGGCACCTGATTAGAGTACCATCTAGGGATTCATTTGTTCTATCACCCCTTTATTCTGATGTAAGTTACTGTCCCCAAACATTAACTGGCTACTGGGTTGGACCTGATACTGAGGATGGTTGGGGTTTTGTAGAAGCTTTTATTGATATAATTCTTTGATTCTTTGTCAGTGATCCATAATTTCTTTTTTGTGTTCTTGGCCTCTTTTGCTCTGAACAACTAATTATTGATGCATATTTGGGCTGATTGCGTGATTAGTGAGCGAATTTGTTGTTCATGATGAATCATGAAGCACAATAGGTAAGATACTCTCCATTAGTATTGTTCATGCACACACCCAATACAGATGGAAGCATAGTATTGAGAGAAATTTTAAGTCCTAAATCATCCGACCATGAAACAGGGCTGTATAGAAGAAGGCTTCAGATTTGTTCTCTGTGCTGTTCCTCTGGAATTTCCGGCTGCTTTCCTTCTGTAAATCGCTTCACCAGAATATTCTTTTACATGAATGACAGGAACATGGTTTGATGAAATTATAGGCCCTTTATGGTGCAGCGACAACATGAAAACGATTCATTGGTTTAGTATGATTTTGTCAAAATTGACCCAACCTGAATGAGCTCACCCGAAATGTCAAGTTTTTATGTTTAAGCAAAATAATAATGGACTTCAATGTTTGTCTAAAATATAATTGGCTTCTGAACTCCAAATTATTCAAGGATTATGACACTAGCCCAGCGCTGATAATGATCCTTTTTTTTAACTTGTTTTGGACTATACATAGGGGTGGGACTTTTCAAACCGAACCGTGAAACCGCCCGCGACCGAACCGAACCATCACGCACCGATCCGTTTATAAACCGATAAATTTAAAACGCAAACCGAACTGTACTGTTCAATATCAAACCGAAACCGAATCGAACCGCTCAGTGTCAACCTGTTACGGACCGTAAACCGATAACAAACCAAACTGCTCAAATCCGAACCGAAACGAAATCGAACCGAATGGTTTATAAACCCGTTAAGGACCCGAACCGTTTATAAACCGAAACCGTTTAAACCGTTAAAAAAACCGTTTAAACCGAACCATTTGTAACCCGCTAACCGTTTAAACTGCAGGAAAAACTGTTTAAACCGAACCGTTATAATCTGCTAACCGTCTAAACTGAACTGCCATAACCCGTTAAACCGTTAAAATCGAACTGTTTTCGAATCGCAACCTGTTTAAACTGATCCGATTACAAACTGCTTAATTCAATTTGAATTATTTACAACCTAAATGGCTAAATACAATTAATGTTAAATTGTTAATAAATATAGATCTAATCAAACGGCTTAGGTTTATACAAAGGTTTATATAATTATATCACCTAGACCTAGTCTAACGGCATTACGGCATTATTAATGTCATTTTAGATTACTTATTTATTTTAATTAATATCAAATGTAACATACTAGTATTATTATTTATTTATATATATACTTTAATTTAACAAAGATAACAATAAATATAAATTTTAAAATAAATACAATAAACATTACTAAATGTAAATCTAATTAAACGACTTAGGTTTATACAACGGTTTATATCACCTAATCCAACGGCTTTATTAATGTGAATATTGTCGTTTTAGATTACTTATAATTTTAATTAATATCAAATGTGAAATGTAACATACTAGTATTATTATATATATTATATATACTTTAATTTAACAAAGGTAACAATAAATATAAATTTAAAATAAATAACTTTAATTATTCCAAAAAATACATTTCATCTACATTTTAAATTAAAAATAAATAAGTTAAGGATTTACATTTTACATATGAGATTAAATTATCCTAATAACAAAATTTAACCTAAAAAAACATTCCTAGAAACAAAAGGCAGCAGAATCTTGAAGCAGCAGCACAACACCCAAGAGCAGAGAAATAGTAGCAACAAGTAGGAACCAGCTCACGCAATAACAGATCAGCAACTTAACAGAAGCAAGGAACAATATAAGCAGAAGGGACTCAGCAGGAACTAATTTTTGTTTTTCAAAATTGCTCTCAGATTTACGTTTATCGTATCATCACAGAGCAATGGTTGTTTTAACTTAAAACTTGAAAAATGCTGCCAGCAAGTACGTATACATTGAAGTCTCAACATAAATGACAAGGGCAACGATGATTCAAGATAAATTAAAACAGCAAGCATAAGAAACAACAATACAAGCTCAAAACAAGTTCAAGCAACTTCAATACTAATTTTTGTTATTTAAAATTGCTCTCAGATTTACATCACTAAGCAATGGCTGTTTTAACTTAAAACTTGAAAAATGCTGCCAACAAGTACGTATACATTGAAGTCTCAACATAAATGACAAGGGCAACGATGATTCAAGAAAAATTAAAACAGCAAGCATAAGAAACAACCGCAACAAAACTTATCATAAGTTCATAACACAAAAGGCAACAACAATACTGAAACAGCAACACAACACCTCAAGCTGGCAGGAGGCAGAAACCAGCTCAGGCAGGCAACAGTATAGGCAGTAACAACTCAGCAGGGACAACAACCAAAAGGCAAAAGCACTACCAGCAGCTCAAAACAAGTTCAAACAACTTCAAAACTAATTTTTGTTTTTTAAAATTGCTCTCAGATTTACATCACTGAGCAATGGCTGTTTTAACACAAAACTTGATAAATGCTGCCAGCAAGTACCAAAAAACATTGAAGTCTCAACATAAATGACAAGGGTAACGATTTTAAATTTAAGTCTTGAAAAATGCTGCCAGCAGGTCTCAAAATAAATGACAAGGGCAACGATTTTTCAAGATAAAATAAACAACCACAGTGAGGCACAAATACCAGTTATGTAGATGAAGCACTTTCTGCTTCAATCTCTTTACCAATAAGGAGGACGTCTTCCTCAACATCCCCTTGATAACCACAGCACCAATTTTGGGTGGTAACCAATGCCTCAACATTCTTTTGAAAAAGCTTACCCCTATATTTGTTCAAAATACGACCACCCAAACTAAAAGAAGATTCAGAGGCCACCGATGTAATAGGAATGGCCAAAACATCCCTTGCCATATTAGCTAAAATAGGAAGAGAAGAAGCTTGAGATTCCCAATACTTGAGAACATCAAAATGTTCCCCTTGAATTAATCGCGAACGAGGTCCATTCAAATATGCCTCAAGATCAGCCAGAGGGCATCTAGTTGAATCACCACATTCGTCATCAACCTCACGCAACTGAAACAGATTGTTTATTAGAAGTTAAATATGACATAACAAATAAAAATAGAAGACTGTCATTAATATTGTATAACATAAATACCGTGAAAATATTTTGAGAACTCAACGTGCGATTAGAATTTTCAGATTGAGCTGTGTCAGAAGAGGCAGGATTTCTGCAGCTTGTATTAGATGCAGTAGAATAAAATTTATAAAGGTCATAAAGAGCTTCCTTAATCATCATAATCTTTTCGTCGCATGCCTCATCATTATACAACGAGTTCAACATATGTCTCACTCGAAACAGCTTATAACGAGGATCAAGAGCAATAGCAACTGAAATAATCAAACTATAATCCTCCCAATAACCCTCAAACTTCTCAAGCATAACTGCTGCCATGGGTGCAAGTTTAGGGTCTTTATAGGCTTGAGTAATAGCGTACTCAATTTTTAAAACACTAACAAAATACAAATTAGCAGTGGGATATTCGGTACCAGAAAATAACACAGTAATATCATTAAATGGCCGACGGAAATCACAAATTTTTTGAATGGTATCCCATTCATCAGCATCAAGTCTATAAGAAATACCCAAAAACCTACTAGTATATAGAATCAAGGCATCCTTAGCTTCTAAGGCTTTTCGGAGCATTGTATAAGTGGCATTCCAACGAGTCACAACATCGAGACATAACTTACCATTAAAAGCACAGTCTAACTCAGACAAAGCATTCTCAAATTGAGTTAATCTAGAATCAGAAGCATCAATATATTTAACAACCTCACGCAATTTTTCAACACTTTCATGAACTTCTTTTAAGCCTCTTTGAACAATAAGATTTAAAACATGAGCTGAACATCGAACATGAAAGAATGTACCATTACAAGGTAGAGGGGAGCACAACATTAATTCTTTTTTCAAATATTCAACCATAACATTCATAGAACGAGCATTATCAACAGTTATTGAAAAAGCCTTATCTTGAAGATTCCACTCTTTGATCAATTTAAACACAAACTTTCCAACCTCAACACCAGTATGGGGAGGGCCACAATATCTAAAATTTAAAATTTTAGACCTAAGAGACCAATTGTTATCAACATAATGAGCAGTCAAAGTGAGATAGCCTCGGTTAGTACATGCAGTCCACAAGTCACATGTAAAGCTAACTCTACCAGAAACATTAGCCAAAGACTTATGCAACAAGGATTTATATTTATCATGCTCGGCAATAACATACTTTAACATAGTTTTTCTACAAACATGCTGCACCTTAGGATTCAAATATGCATGAAGTTCCCTAAGATATTCATGCTCTACAATATTTAAAGGATATGCATGACAGATTATAGCTTTAGGAAACTTTTGTAAATAAGTTTTTTGATCAAATTTTGATTCTTTACCGGGCTGGAGACCATGCTTTTCCAAACATGCATTAATATGAGCTCTACAAGTTGAAGTACCCGCTTTACCAGGTGCTTTATATTCTTTGCCACACAAATTACAACGAGCATATTCTACCTTTTCATTACCTATCGTCTTTAAAAAAAAAGTGTAATGCTTCCATATACCTACGGTTCTTTGACGTTTATTAACAGAAGTAGTGATAATGCCGGTATTACTAGCATCATCAACCGGGCCAGAGGCAGCTTGAGAGCTAACAGTATCAAAATTTTATTGCCTCTCATAGTTAAATTCATCATACTCGTGAGATATGACTGAAACAAAAAAAAAAAAACAGCATTTATAAGTACCAAATGAAGTTCTGAATTTTTACTTCAAAAGTTTCAGAAATAAAAGAAACCTTTCTGAAAGAACAGAGAAAATCATGATTTTGCAGTTTCTGTAAGGTCTATAACATGATAAATGTGCTAAGTAGTAGCTTACTGTAAGCCAATCATACAAGTACCAACTTTAAGTACTAACTTTAAGCCAATCATACAAGTATACATTTCACAGGACTATATATGTTCATTTCCCGAGGTAATGCTAACAAACTAATAGAGGCCTCAGACAAACTAGGCCCATTTAATAAATGTTGGACTTGGGCAGAATGTACAAAGTATGACATTAGACA